ATAGAGATCGAGCAAGCGAGCCGAGGGGGGGGGGAGGGGGGGGGAAGGGAAAGCACGGTCCAGCATACGCACCAACCTCGATGCTCAGCTTGCCGAAGGAGCTGGTCTTGCCCGGGAGATTGGGAGACTCCTTGGTCTCGGTACGGGCCTTCTTCTTGGCCGGGCCGGACTCGGCGCCCTCCTCGTCGGAAGAGGAGCTGTCATCGGAAGAGGAGTCATCCTCCTCCTCCTCAGAGGAGGAAGAGTCACCAGAGGAGCCATCCTCCTCGTCCTCGTCGCTCTCCTCCTCGGAGGCCTCGACCTCCTGGCGGGTGCGCTTGGAGGCGGCCTTCTGCTCGGCGGCAGCCACAGGGGCGGTCTTGCCTGTGGCGAGAGTCGCCGATGGGGGGGGGGGAGGGAGAAAGGGCGGGGGTTGTCGTTGGGGAGGCACGACAAACAGGCGGTCGGTCAGTAGGGAGGCGCATGTGCACCGCCGAAGCACGGGGTCTGGCGGGGTGAAAAGCATCGACGTACCCGCGGCGGCGCGGGCCTTGGAGGCGGCGACAACCTTCTTGGAACTCATGGCTCGGAGACGTCGAAATAAGGGAGACGGGTGGGGGAGAGAGAGAGAGAGAGAGAGACAGAGAGCGAGGCTGGGGAGAGGCAAGGGAGAGGGGGACCGGAGAAGTAGCAGGGGGGGGGGAGGGGGATTGAGGAGGGGGGGAATCGGCGTGCGGGGGAGGGGAGACTGTCTTTGCTAGAAGGGTCTAGGTCCCATGGGGCCCTCTGCACTGCCGCTTGAGTCGCCCTGCCGGCAACCCAGCGCGTCTCCCCTTGCCTGAGCCCCGGGGCCGATGGCGGTCTCCGGATGGCTCCCTCGCACCCGGGGCCGGCGGCGAGAGGCCGGCCTGGCCGGGCCGACCCGCCTGGATTGGGGGCTCCTCACGCGCGGGCCGGGGCACGCGTGTCGCCCGGTCTGGCCGCGGCGCGGGGCAACCGCGCGCATCTTCGGCGCGTAGCTCCCCCCCCCCCCCCGCGCGCGCGCAGACGAGCAAGCAGGCACCCACGAGGGGTGCGGCGCGAATGGGGCACATGTGATTACACATGATGATCTCCCAACGGACTCTCACGTGCGCCGCTCGGCAATATCGGCGCCCTCCCCAGGCGGCCCGGGGCCGGCGCTGTGCCCGCACACCCACACACACACACACCAAGCAGCACACCCACACTTACACACTCACCGACACACTATATACACACACACACATACACACACACACACACGGCCCGCACGCTCTCGTTCTCCTGCCCGCCACTCGCACGCAAAATACCACAGCCGCACGCGGGCACAACACACCCGCGGCTCCCACACCGACGCAGACACAGGCACACAGACACACTGCCCAGCCTCGTCAGATCTCCTCCTCCTCCTCCTCCTCCTCCTCCTCCTCTCGAACCCTCCTCGCCTCTCCCCGCCTCTTCTTCCCCCTCCCATCAGTCCCATCTGGAGATGGCCGATGGGACAGGCCCCGCACTCGGCCTCCCGGCCGAGGCGCTCTTCCTGCAGCAGGCGGCCTCGGCGCTGGCCGCCCTGGATCGATGGCTGGCGCTGGACAACGGCGCCGATGTCCGTCCCCGCGTTGAGTCCCTGGTGCGCAAGATCCCTCCTGCCTGCTGGCTTGCGCGCCCGCCGCAAGATCTCCCCCGTGTCTGACGCATGTGTGCCGGGATTCCCCGTGCCAGATCACCATCGGCTACCAGCTGGCCAACACGGCCCTGTGGTACGGCACGGCAACCGCCGCCTCCGGCGCGGTGAGTCTTGCCCAGCCGGACATCAGCCCCCTTTACTCAGACGGTGTGTGTGTGTCCCTGCCTTCGCCTTCCCTTCCACCCTTCCACTCCCTCGCCGTGGGCGCTCCCCCTCCCCCCCCCCTCGCATCCTCCGTCTGCCTCCATCACGGCCGTCTGCTCACCACCCCGCTCGCGCCCTGCCAGCCATCGCCTCGGAGCTGCTGGTCTACAAAACCGGCCGCCTGAGTCGGCTCCTGATCGGCCTCCGCAACACCCTGTCCGTCGCTCCTCGTCCTTCCGCGCCTGCCCTTCCTCCTTGTCCCTTCTCTCCCTTCTGCCCCGCTCTGCCCGACAAGGGTAGCCCCTCGGGCCTCCGTGCGACCACCCCTGACTGATCCACCTTAACAGCTCCGAGATGATGGCCATCCAGCGGAGCTTGCGCTTGTCCCTCAGCGCGTGCCAGCACCATGCCCTGGATGTGACCCTCCGGGCGGACGCCGATCCCGAGGTCCGCGCCTTCCGGAGCAGCACCCTGAGCCCGGTGCTGGCATCGCTGGAGCGTGCGGCTGCCGTGCTGTTTGCCCTGATCCCCCAGCGCCGGGGCTTCCTGGACACCATCCCCCAACGGGTGGGGGCCCTGGCGCAACGAGCCGGTGCCCAGCCCTCGGCCGTGGCCTCCTTCGACTGGGCACCCCTGCCGGCGGTGGAAGATGGCAATGATCTGTCCCCCGATGGGGGGACCGCCAGCGCCGAGGCAGCGGCCCTGGACCCGCGCCTGCTGCACCCGAAGGCCCCGGACGATGGGGGCCTCGGTGTGGCGCCATGGCTCCCCCTGCCACGAGTCCTGGTCGACGGTGCGTGTGCCACTCCCTCCCCTCCCGTCCTGCCCCCCTTGCTCCCACTCTCGCCCCCCCTTTACCTGCCGCGGGAGAGGGCGACCCCCCCCCCCCCCTTGCCGGGGCTCCAATGTTGACCATCGTGCATTCGTGACTCAGAGCTCCGAACAGCCCTCCAGCATGCGAGCGACACATTGGCCTAGACCGTCCGAAGGATGTGCTTCTGTCGGCAACCGCCGGCTGGCCGGTTTGAAAGCCCCAAAACATGGAAATACACCCAGAACCTGGACACTGGCGCACACTTGATGAAACGCATCGGAGAGGGGAGACATGTGCCTCAGTATTTTTGGAACCAGCCCCCGGCGGCCAGGAGGGGGCCGGAGACCGGGGGGCCGGAGGGAGGGACAATCGACGAGGAGCGACCCCTGGGCCATGCTCAATGGAAGGCCGGGTCAAGTAGGTCCGTCACCGAGAGACCAGCCTTTCCGCCGAGAGCCAGACTCAGGGGCGCGGCGATGGCAGCTGGGGAGGTCTCAGCAATCGACCCATCCGCGGTGACAATCTCATCCAGCAGCGAGTACACCATATCCATGCGGTACATCAGCTGCGATGGGGGGGGGAAGCAAAAGAGCCAGGGGCCAAGGGCAGGGGGTGAGTGGGGCAAAGGACACGTACCCAGAGGCGACATGTGGACGTACATCGAGCTCGGACTGGGTGGGAGGGAGGAGGCGCGCATAAGGCGATGCGAGGGAGACAGAGAGAGAGAGAGACGGAAGAGGAAAGGGATACAGGGTGGAGGAAGGATGGTGCGTGAGCACAGGCCGCACAGGCAAAGGGAAAGTGCGCAAGATCCATCGCCCGGGGCGGGGGGGGGGGGAGGACGCACGACGTTGCCGAAGAAGGAGTCCAGGGAAATGACAAACTGATGGATCAGCTCCAGGATGGCGAGGGCATTCTGGCGAGCGAGGTGAGCCGGCGAGGGCCAGAAGCATGACACCCAGAGTGAAGGAGACAGGACGGGGGGAGGCGGGGGGGAAAAGGGAAGAAGGAATGCACGTTGAGGGTGGCCGGGAGGCGTGTTAGGCACCGGTGGGGCGACAGGAAGACTCGATGGCCGGGATCGGGTGTGGGCAGGGAGAAGAAAAAAAAAAAGGCAAGAGCCCAGACCAAACACAGCGCACATCGTCACGGTCTGTCCCGATGATGAAGAAAAGCGACGCATAGCGGCGATAAACAACCTGGTGCTCGCCGTGCTCAAAGAAGGAGCACTGGCTCTGGGATCGGCCAAGGCACAGTCGCGCGAGAGTGGCCTCAAAGAGGGCGCGCGACTCCGGGGACTACATTGTTCCGGGGGGTCAGCGGCAAGAATCGGCAGGGGGGATGGCGCGGCAGATTGGCGGGGCAGCAGGGCGGACCATCGATGCGCCGGAGCAATAGCGCGAAAGGCGCGTCTGCCCGGTGCGATTGACCACCAGCACGTAGCGGATCATGACGCTAATGGCAGGGAGGGGCGAGGAGGAGCTGCGAGTGTATGTGTGTGTGTGTGTGCGTGTGCGTGTGCGTGTGCGTGTGCGTAGGGGGGGCGGTGCGGGGGGGGGGGGGGAGGGGGAGGGGTTCTGTCTCTCTGGCCCGGGCGATCTGCCCGCCCCGACGCTGGGCCGAATGTTATGAATAGCGGGAGGGGGCCGGCGGCAGGCACTGCGTTGGCAGCCGGGCCCGACGCCGCGTCCGTCGTTTGTTCCACCACACCGGCCGCGCCGCGCCCTTCGGCCGCTGGTGGGGACATGCCGCCGGGCTGATCGGCCGCCACGGCTAGCTTGACCACTCCAAGCGCCCGGCACATCCTGCCCCTCCTCCTCCTCGTCTCTCCTCCTCCGCCCCCCTTGCCTCCTCCCCCTCCTCCTCTCTGTGTCCTCCCCTCCGCCGCCCTCCCTCCTCTCGCCCCCCCCCCTCCCCCCCCCCCTCTGACTCTACTGGGGAGGAAGATCACCCGGGTGTCACCCCAGGCATGTCCGCCAGCGGGTCCTCCGCCCAGCACCAGGGGGCCGCGACTTCGGCAGCCCCGTCCTCCGGGGCTGGCACATCTGCCGGCGCGTCTACCGGAGGCCAGCAGGCATCAGCTGTGACCGGGGCCACGACAAATGTGGCGGTCGTCCGCGAGCGCCTGTCACATGCGGCGGCCACCCTGCGCAAGAGCAGCATCAACGCAGGCATCGATGAGGCTGACGTGCGTCTTTTTCCCTCTTCCCTTTTCCCCTCCCCGTCGCTCGGTTGCCGCGTCCTTCTTGCTCTTCTCGGCATCTCCCACGGAGACACGCACATGGCTCCTATTTCCCCATCGGGCCCAAGACGACCGCGGGCGCGCCTCTGACCTCCGCCCCCCGGCCGCCGATGGACATGCAGGCCCAGAGCCTGTCAGTCCTGTTGGACGATTTGGCCGACATGTCCAAGCGCCTTGCCGCCTCGCAGCGGGAATTGGTCAGCGCCGAGCGCCTGATCTTCATGCAGGAGTCCACCTTCATCGAAACGGCCGGCGCCTCGTCCGCGGGGAACTTGCTGAAGGGCTTCGACTCGATCGCCGGCATCACGGGCTTCGGCGGGCCGGGCGGGTCGGCTGCCGGCTCCAGTGCTCCGGGTGGTGGACCGGCCCTGCCCTCGGTGGGGACGGAGCGGACCCGCCGTGCGGCGGCCGCTGCCGCCGCCGCCGCCGCCGCCGCCACCGCCGCCGCCTCGGCCACATCCGGCACGGCCACCCCCGTGACCGCGGTATCCAGCTCAAGCTCCGCCTCGTTGACGGCCCTCAATGGGGCGCCGGCCAATTTCTCCTCAGCGGTGCTGCTCAGCCCGGGCAATGACCAGGATCGCCTCTTCTCGCGGTCATCTGCCTCCTACAGGGCGGTATGTTCCCGCAGTGCCTTGCGCACCCGTTGGCCTGGCCAAGTTGCCGACTCACGCGCATCCTCGCTCCCTCCCTGCCTCTGCCCTCCGCGCTGTCCCCCAGAGTGTCGGCTTCCCGGACGATGAATTGCAGGACTTCTCCGACGATCTGGATGAGGGTGCGTGCATGCGCCGACGTCTTCCGGCCCTCCTCTCGATGGCGCTGGCTTCTGTGTTGCCTCGTGCTGCTCCCTCTCTCCATCTCTCCATCTCTCCCTCCCTCTCTCTCTCTCTCTCTCTCCGGGCCTCACCATGCATTTTTTCCTCCCCACCGGTGGCAGACATTTCCTCCCGTGGCCGGTCCGCTTCGCCGGCCATCAATGTGACCAATATCCCCCGGCAGGGTGGCAACAACCCTCACATCAACAATGACCCGCACATTGGGTTTACCGGGCGCGGTCGGCCGGCCGCCGGTCCCGGCGCCCACCACTCGCGTGTCGGCGACCCGGCGGCCACTCAGGCCCAGCAGCTGGCCACCGGGTCGACCGGCACCGGCGGCGCCACCCAACAGCAGCCCCCGGCGTCGGCTGGTGCTTCGGCAGCCGGGACTGGTGGCCACCGCGTGCCGCTGGTGACCATCAAGAAGTCCGGCGGGGTGCACCCGGTCGCCGGGACGAAGGCCGCCTCGGGCGTCAAGATCGCCTCCGGAGGTGGTGCCGCCCCGCGAGCCTCCGGCGCCGCTGTGCCCAGCCCTCCGGCATCGGTCAAGGCGGCGGCGGCCATGCGCGATCCCACGGCCGGGGCTCGAGCCGGACCGTCGAGCACCAGCCACAAAAAGCGCAAGGTCGACCCGGCAGCCGCCGGCAGCCCGGCCGCCCCCCCGGCGACAGCGGTGGCTACCGGGGCCCCGGTGGCGGTGGCTCCCGGGGCCGGCGCCCTGCCGGTCAAGCGCCGCAAGGGGCTTCTCCCGGACAAGAAACGCAAGGCCCCCCCCGGCGAGGGCGCGGCGCAGGACGCCTCGGCCTCCGGATCAGCCTGAACAATGGACCTTGCCCGCTGATTGGCCCTCCTTTGTGCCACTTTGCCCTTCTTCGGGGGATCCAAAAACAAGCGTGAGCGGGGGGGGGGGGGGGGGGGGGGACCAACGCAGTTGGCAGCGGAGAACTGGGGCAAGGCATGTGGTGCTCTATTTCTCCCGGCCCGGAGGCATTTTGTCCGGTTCGCTCTCGCCCTCGCTTTTTGGCCTGGGGAACAAAGCAGCAGACCCCTCTGCCGGAATTACACGGCCGAGGAGGTGGTCCGGACCCAGGCCCACGCGGCGTCGGCCACATTGTTCAGCCGGGACCATTGGGCCGGGTCAAAGGCGCCGATTTCCACCGGCACCGAGAAGGAGATGGCCGGCGTGCAGTCGGCCCGCTCGGGCACCACCAGCGGCCTGGCGCGTGTGGTCGACCGCCATCGAAGCGGGCCGAGGCAGGGGAAACCCACGCACAGTGCCGGCGCGGGCACATTGCAAGGTGGCGCACGTCAGCAACGGGTCGCACAGTGGAGGAAGATGCCGGGGTCGGCGGGCGTGGGCCCGAGCGTACCGTCTTCCCCCGCCAGGGCCGTGGCTACCGGTGACGCGTGGTGAAGGGGGCGTGCCCCCGGCGCCGAGCGTCAATCCGGCCTCCCTTGGACTGGCACCCAATATGTCGGCCGCCGAAACGAATGCCGGCCCGGAAACCAGGCCCGACCGCTCGAACGCCGTGGGCAGAAGTTGCTCCGTCAGGGGCAGCACCCCGGGGCCCGGATTCGATGCATGGAGAATGGGGCTGCCGCCGAGGGCGCCCACCTGGGCCGGGGAGTCGGTCAGCCCTGGCGACAAACGGCCAAAGAGCTCCACACGCACCGACCAGGCCAGCTCCACTGCACGTGCCCCGGCCGACCGGGCGAAGGGAAAGACGCCCGATGGGGATGGCCAAGGGGACCGAGACCATTGGTCAGCGATCGGGCATGCCAGTCGCGGTGGGCATGCATCGGAGCGGGCACATGAAGAGCAGGAGGACCAGCAGACGCAAGGGAGGGGAAAATAGGTCCGAGCGTTGCGGGGGGGGGGCGCACCAGCAGACAACTGCTGCGAAGGCCCGGCCCCGACCGGCACGGCCAGCTGGCACTGCAGAACCTGCCAGGCCTCGGCCTGCGAGGACCGGCACACGAGGGTCGGGTCGACGAGCAGGTCGCGCGGAACCAGGCGCGTCGGGCTACCAGAAGCCAGGGACCCGGCGGTGGCCAGGGGCGACCCGGCTCCGGGCCCGGCCAGACCGGTTGGGGCCTGGGCCGACGGCTGGCACAGGAGCCACCGCTGGTCGGCCACCTTGACGTTGGCCGTGGCACCGGATGACTTGACATTTTCCGCGGCCTGCAGTGACACCGAGGCCTGCATGGTGGCGAGGAAGGGCAGACACAGGAGGTTGGGGGGGGGGGGGGGGGGGGGGGAGGCCGATCGACAGGGGGCATGGCCATGCACCCATTGAAGTATGGCTATATATATCCATCAGGCCATGTGCCCATGCCGCCTCCAGGGGGCAGGGCTCGGTGCCAGGACGTACATACTGCACTGTCAGCCCGGGGGGGATGGACAAGACGGCCTGGACCCCGCGCCCACCGGGTGTCCGGGTCAGGCAGAGACCCAGCGAGTAGGACTCCTCCGGCAGGGGGGCAGGGCAAACCACCGACCCGGCCAGCGGGATCAGGAAGAGCCGAGCTGTGGGCGAGACAAACAGGAGGCAGGGCGAGGGGGCGGG